ATTAATAATTTCACAAATGTTATTATTAAGCATTATTTCCCAGGAAACATGTACCTATCAATAAGAGTAAAAACTAGACTCACCTATTTTTTAAGATGTTATGGTTTATATGAGAGAAATTTACTTTTATCCCATAATTAGCATAGATGAAAGAGGATCTGAATTTTAGAGAATTTCGGTTCTAAAAAGTTATAAGTAAACAGACCTAGCAATGGGGCTCTTAAATTCCTCAACATTTTATTTCCCTCTCTAAGTTCAGGGCATCAGCTTTGACACTTCTTGAGCACCAGGAATGGGGAAAAACCCAGTCCTTGATTTAGGACTTTATCTTTAAGGAGATGACTCAAATATTTCATATGCTGATGTAAGGGAGGATAATAAACTTCTTCTTTGTGGGTCGGGGAAATATGTTCAGATAAACTAGGGAATCCTGTTATTAAGAATAAAAAGGAATTGATGGATGTTAGGGATAATTAAAATTATTTTCCTTATTTTGGGAATTGTAGGTTGATAATGATTGTTAGGTCTTCCCAAGTGGCACTAGTGGTAAAAAAAAAAAAAATCTGCCTGCCATTGCAGAAGATGCAAGAGATGCAGGTTCAATCCCTGGGTTGAGAAGATCCTGGGAGTAGGAAATGGCAACCCACTCCAGTAATATTGCCTGGACAATTCCATGACACAGGAGTCTGGTGGGCTACAGTTCATAGGGTTTCAAAGAACTGAAAACAACTGAGCACCTAAGCACACGGACTCAATGACTGTCACATGATGAAAGTTTTCCTTTTAATATCTGCAGTCGTCACTGCACACCTTTCTGGGGGAATAATTTTGACATATATATTCTATATTTGTAAAAATAGATACACTTAGAATGGAAAATAGTGAAGATTTACCTACTACCCCAGATTTTTTCTCCTTATTTTAATAAATGGCAATTGCATACATTCAATTGCTCAGGAAAAATATCTAGAAGCCATTCTTGTTTCTTCCTTTTTCCTCTTCCTCCAAATTCAACTCCTTGAAAAATACTTTGATGTCTTTCCAGAAGACACTCTGAATTTGTTTGTTTTCTATACTGTGGTCAAAGTTATTATAGCACTTGTTTAGCAATAATCTTTTAACTGGTAACTTTAGTTCTTTTATTACCTCTTTCTTCTGATTCCCAGTTAAACAACATCTGTGATCTTTTGAAAATATATCACTCTACTTAAAATAATTCTCCAATAGCTTTCCCATTGCAATTAATACTACCTGAACTCCTTACCATAAGGATCTTCTTAATCAGACACCTAAATTTATTTTCAATTCCTTATTGATCCATAATCTCACTTGTTTACCATATCTTAGGCCATGTTTGGCTTTGTTTTGGCTCATGGCAAACTCAGTCTAGCCTCAGGTTCTTTGTAAGTATGATTTATTTTGCCTGCATTGTGCTTCTCCAACAAATTTTCATGTCTGGGCTACATTTGTTTTTCAGAATTAACAAAACTGTTACCTTTGAGAGAATATTTTCTTCCTAAGCATTGTATCTATTCTAGTCACTATTCCACCATGACACAGTGGGGGAAGGAGAAAGTGGGATGAATACAGAAAGTAGCATCGACATATATACTAGTGTGTAAAATAGATAGTTAGTGAGAAATTGCTGTATAACACAGGAAGCCCAGCCTGGTGTTCTGCAATTACCTAGAAGGGTGAGATGGGGGAAGGTGGGGGGAGATTCATGATAGAATCTATGTATAATTATGGCTGATTTGTGTTTTTGTACAGCAGAAACCAACACAATGTTGGAAAGCACCTTTCTTTCAGTTTAAAACTAAATTTTAAAAAAATCTAAATGACATATAAAATATGTCATTCATTGTGTTTTATGCTCATGAGTATAAATTATATAAAAGAATAAGTAATATCTAACTCTTTTATTTAAAATCATTGTATCCAAGGGATACATAACAGTGCCTGGAACATGTTAGGTGCTCAGGATATTTTCTTGTTTGAGTAACTTGTCTAGTCTTTCCCTTTCAGTATCTTCTATTTCATGTAAATAATCCTCTAATATTTACTAAGTTTTTCCAGACTCAGGTTTTATTTTCCCATCTGGAAGTTTAATAAGGTAGCAGTTTACATCAGCCAGTGACATCAGCTCCTGATATTTCCTAATTTGCTTCCCTCTTCTCTTCAAACACAGCATGTCATTTGCTCCATTATATTAGCATTTCTGCATGTACAAGTTTATCTGGAAAAATATTTAATAGAAAGACATTCACATAGACATGTAATATAAGAGCATATTTAGTTATAACACAAGGGAGTGACTAATGTTTATATTTTAAAAATATATTCTTTAAATGTACACCTAGTGTACTAATCTGGCTATAAAAGTATCTTCTTGTCCACTCTTATCAATAAGTAGACATGTCTTTATATTACTCATTAAGAATATTTTTACTGTGGACTTTTCAGGTGACTCAGTGGTAAAGGATCTGCCTGCAATGCAAGAGAATCAGATTCGATCCCTAGGTCAGGAAGATCCCCTGGAGAAGGGAAAGGCTACCCCCTCCAGTATTCTTGCCTGGAGAATTTCAGGGACAAAGAAGCCTGGAGGACTTCAGTCCATAGGGTGGCAAAGAGTCAGGCATGACTGAGCAACTAACACTTTTATTTTCTTTCAACATTTTCTTTAGCTCTTAAAATACAAATCTGTATTATTATTAAAAGACATTTAATTTTTAACTGAAAAATAGTTTATTACATATGCCCATGAGTTTTTAGGAAGAGTAGAAAGATAATTTCTTTGATATTTATTTGGATTTCAATGGAAATAAATTATGTAAGATGACTTTGGCTGCTAGTAACAAAATTCCCAACTCAGATTTGCTCAGACAATAAAGAAATTTATTTTCTTGCATGAAAAGGGTTCAGAAGAAAGGCTAACCTTTTATTGTTTCTTAATGATATATCACAGTTCTTACACTTTTCTCTATAATTCCTTATAATTATAGCATATGATTTCTTCATGAATTAGTATGGTCAAATATTTATTTACTTTTGAAAAAGTCCATATATAGCAATATTATCATATATTTATTTGCCTTTTATTCAGGTGCAATAAATCTATTTTCAAAAACTTCTCAGATGACTTCTCCATGGCCTCATTTCCCAGAAGGACCTCTGTTCCATGATTGGTTTAGATGAATTTTTTATGTTGGAATGGATCATATAGAATAAAACAAGTATTTTGTGGTATTTACATACTCAGCAAATGTAGTTTAGCAGCACATATGCATTTAAGAGGAAAAGGTAATGGCAACCCACTCTAGTACTCTTGCCTGGAAAATCCCATGGACAGAGGAGCCTGGTAGGCTGCAGTCCATGGGGTTGCTAAGAGTCAGGCACGACTGAAGTGACTTAGCAGCAGCAGCATGCATGCATTTAAGAATGAATGCAGAAAAAAAAAAAAAAGAAACCATTCTCTGTAAAAAAAATAATAAATAAAATAAAAAATAAAAAAATTTAAAAAAAAGAATGAATACAGAATGTTACTGAAATGTAGCATTAAAATTTGGAATTATAACACAATCACAACATCTGAAGCCCAGTGATTCTCAGCTAGAGTCAGAAGCACTCTGCTAAGGGGCATTTGGAAATATGGGGTAGAGGGTATTTTTTCATTGTCATAAAACATCAAAGGTAGCACTAGCATTTAGTGGTCATTAATCAAGAATGATAAATATTCTATAATACATAGGTTAGCCTTACATAAGTATGTTAAGAAATACTGATAACTTCATATTTATGTAGAAAGATACATATAAATAGCCATGTAAATATCAAAATAGCTATATAAAAATATAGGTACATATGTAGATTTATATATAGTCATATGCTGTGCTGTGCTGTGCTAAGTCACCTCAGTCATGTCCGACTCTTTGTGACCTTATGGACTATAGCCTACCAGGCTCCTCCATCCATGGAATTCTCCAGGCAAGAATGCTGGAATGGATTGCTATACCCTCCTCTAGGAGATCTTCTTGACCAAGGGATTGAACCCATGTCTCTTATGTCTCCTGCCTTGGCAGGGGAGTTCTTTATCACTAGTGCCACTTGAGAAGTCCATATATAGTCATATAGATCACATCAAATATACTATTACAAAAATGTATTCAGTTACTCCTTTTGGCAATGTTAAACTTCACATGAACATTGTGTTTCTTTAAGCAGCAGTAAATAAGATACACCCCCACAGTTTCATGCTTCAGGAAATAGCTCACTGTGATGAATCATTATTCCCCATATGACTTAGATGAGATTCATATAACTGTCTCATTTACCAATGACAAGGTCAGATACAGACTTTCTGAATTCCCATCCTTTGTCTCATAAATGATTAGATATTTGTATCGACTCACCAACCTGGTCAAAATACCTGCTAATTTGACTGGACCAAAACTTAATTTTTGTCCTTTGCTCAGGATACAGACTTCTGAATCACCATCAGCCTGGGCCAATATCTGAGTATGGAACAACCAGTTCTTAATAACTCCTTCCAAGAATCTAGTAATCTCAAGAAAAACATTTCTCCTGCTCAACTGTCCTATGGAGACCCCTTCAACTGACTCTCCAGTACTCAGTACTTATTGTCTTGCTTGTTGTTGTTGTTTAGTGGCTAAACTGTGTCTGACTCTTTTATGACCCCATGAACTGCATGTAGCTTGCCAGACTCCTCGGTCCATAGGATTTTTCAAACAAGTATACTCGAGTGTGGTGCCATTTCTTATTCCAGGGGATCTTCCTGGCCCAGGGATCCAACCTGCATCTCCTGCATTAACAGGCAGATTCTTTTTTTTTTTTGCTGCAAAAAGCTTTATTGTTTCCATTTGGTCCAAGGCTTGAAAGAGGGCTCCAGGATGTTAAAAAGCTGCCTAGTAGCTGCAGAGAGGGGCTTCAGGCAGCCCTGATGTTAGGTGGGTTCTTCAAAGGCCACTGGTCTCCAGAAGCTCCTAGTCGTGCTTGAGGGTGAGCCTCTCGAAGAGATACTCGCCCAACCCAGCCTGGGGACCAGCCAGCCTGCGGAGGTTGGTCAGGTGGTCACCCATCTTCTTGATGAGTTTCACTTCCTCATCTAGGAAGTGGTTCTCCAGGAAATCACAGATGTGGGGGTCTCCGCGGGCAGAAGCCAGGGCATGCAGATCCAACAGGGCTTGATTCAGGTTCTTCTCTATGAGAAGGGCGGCTTCCATAGCGTCCTGGGTTTTACCCCACTCATCTTGAGATGGCTTCTGCAAGTCCAGGAAGAGGGCGCGGCCGCCACGCTGGTTTTGCAGTTTGAAGAGACGCTCCGCGCCCTCGCGCTTCTCCTTGGCCAATTCGCGAAAAAAGTGACCCACACCCTCCAGAGCCACATCGTCGCGGTCGAAATAGAAGCCCAGAGAGAGGTAGGTGTAGGAGGCCCGCAGTTGCATGTTAACCAGGCGGTTGACGGCGGCCTCCACCTCGGTAGAATAATTCTGACGAATCTGGGAGCTCATGATTGGTCGGTAATAAGGAGTTAAAAAATGGTGGCTTGTCCCGGTGATCGCGGACAGCTGAGTGGCTGACTCCGGAGGTTGCGACTGGAAAAAAGGTTGGACGGTAGTCGGAGGCTGGAGCAAGGGGCTTCCCTGGGTCTGTTCCGTCCAAGCACTGTTGAAGCAAGAGACAGATCCGCGGGGCCGCCGAGCGCACTTCCCAGGCAGATTCCTTACCACTGAGCCACCTGGGGAGTCACTCTCTTGTTTACACTTCCCTGCAAATGAAAATTCTCTTCTGTCTAGCCTATGAAATGTTTGTAGGACAAGAGTTGGACACTACTGAGCGACTAACACACACACACACACACACACACACACACACACACGGTCTAAAGGTTTTCCCTAGTGCAATGGTCTTTTCAAATAAAATGTTTTTTTAATCCAGATCCAGATTTATCATCCATTTTTCAATGATCATTGAGTACCTATCATATACTAGAAACTAAGTACACAGGATTTACTAGACTGGCTTGGTGAGCCTTGTAAATCAACTGAGTTGATTGCTTTTTAAGTTGAGCGGCTCAGGAGGGTCCCTCTGAGAAAGTGATATTATAGTTTAGTCCTAAAAGAGAAAAAGAATGCAATTTTGCAAAGAGTGGCATGGAATTTTTCAGGCAGAAGAAATGCAATATATGAAGGATCTGAACTATAAAACAATAATGTAAACCCCCACAATTAAATGCATATTATTTAGATGTTTGTGATTTTAAATGTAAGTCATCACAGAAAATCAGTGAATAGAGTTTTACAGGAATAGTTAAGATTACTGTTTGAAATCAAATCAGGGACATGCACATTTTTAATTATGTACTTTGGTTCTTCTGTGGGAAAAAATTGATTCAGTAATGAATTTCTGAATTGACAATTCTATGTAAGGAAATTTCTGATACACTATATTATGCCCCAAGTAATATCAAAACTGGGATACACACTCAATCAGTTATCAGAACAAAGTGTAAACTACTCCATACCAAATTCTTTTTCAGTTTTTCAGAATTGTATTTCCTCTGAGAGTATAATCTGCTTAAATAATAATTGCAATGATTTAAAATTAGTATATCAATTTTTTAGCTGAGTATTTGCTGACATTGCATTATCAATTTTCCTTTGATAACTATAATTCTTACTATAATATGCCATCTGGCTTTGCTATTAAGTCACCTTCACCATTTTCTTCTTTTTGAAAGTAAAATCTGCCTGGTCCAAATGAAGATATAAAATCTTAAACTTCAGATTCTGCTAATATACTTAGAGTTTTGACATTTCTTATGTAAAGCATCCTGTATCCTCAATAATACTCTGCAAGTTCACTAAAAATGAATTTAAATAATAATAATGTATTTTAATGTAGCTACAATCATTAAATGACTTTAAAGACTTTTTATTTATTTGTTGTGCTGGGTCTTTGTTGCTGTGCAGGCTTTCTCTAGTTGCTGAGAGTGGGGGCTACTCTTTGTTGCAATGCATGGGCTTCTCACTGTGGTGGTTTCTCTTGCTGCAGAGCATAGGCTCTAGGCATGCAGACTTCGATTGTTGTGGTGTGTGGGCTCAGTAGTTGTGGTATGTGGGTTCAAGAGCACTTCAAGGGCTTAAAAGTTGTAGCACATGGGCTTAGTCACCATGTGGCATGTGGAATCTTCCTGGACCAGGTATTGAACCAGTGTCTCCTACATTGGCAGGCAGATTGCTTACCACTAAGCCACCAGAGAAGCCCAATTGACTTTTTAAAAATAAATTTATACCCATTCTAAGCATTAAGAAACATCAGCTATTCCACATGAAATTTATAAACTATAACAGATTTATAATGAATATTCCAGATGCCTTTTTTAATGAACAGTTATATATTGAATGTGACATAGATGGATTTTTAATCTGTCTTGTGTCTTCCAAACAGTTTTTTTAACTTCCATTCATAACAGGGGATAGGCAGGGGCATATTCTGTCTACTGGTCCATAGACCATTAATAAAATTTAATGAATACATCATATAAAATAGTTTTATATTAAAAACATAGTTTGATATAAAGTTATTTATAATAAAATAGTTTTGATATGCTTTAGTATTCTAAATCTCCTTCATTCTAAATCTCCATCATTAAGACCAGAATTCCAGTGTTCCAGAATTCCAGTGTTATATATGATTCTTCCACTCTTTTTCCTATTGAAGCATTGCAAATTAGAGGTGAAAAAGGCAAAATGAAACGCAAATGCTCTGCTATCTTTCTTCTCAACTTTAAGCTCCTCAACTTTCTCTCTTTTGAGCTTCAAGTTGTTAGAGAAAGAGAAAAATAACTTAGTAACAGAGCCCTATCGTACTTGAAGGCTTGCAAGGCACAACTGAAGGGTGCTCTGACTTTTCTTCTTTCCTACCAAATGAAAATTTTGCCCCTGTTATTTAATTTTTCTTGCAACTTTTGCCTCAAAGAGAGTGTCTCTCTTTTCATTTAGCATATTTACAACTGTCAGATCCTGCTAACTTTTGAAAATATTTTCCTGTTCTAAGTAATTTAATTTTAGAAATATTATTCCAATACCTTTGTATTTGTGTAGAAGATCTTTAAGTGCATGCAGTTCACCTTCATCCTTTCTTAGTTTCTCTTATAAGACTATTTAGTTGGTCTACATATGGCATAAAGTCAACAGGTGAAACACTATGAAAAATATTATTAGATATAAAAGATAATTATATTAAAAATATAATAGCTGTAAGCACTAAATGCTACAGAATTGGCAATTTTTGTTATTAATTTTCAAAGCCATATATTCCATAACAAACATTTTAGAAATATAGTACAGATAAAATCAAGATTTTGAAATATTTTCAGACTGCTAAATGTGTCATTGGTATTTACATATTTCAAATTTTAGATACCCAATCATTGTATTGAAATGCATTGATTGATTGTTAACTTTGTCTCTTTTCTAGAATAAAGCAGGCTATATACAAATAAATTAAACAGATTAAGGATCCTTACATTATGTAGCAAAAAGTTGATTTTTTTCCCCAAATTTAAGACATTTTATAAAAGGAATGAACTGCAGTTATCATAATTCCCAAGAGAAAAAAGTTAAAAAATGATGGCTGCAAGTCAAAACTAATGAAGCAAATGCAATGGGCAGAATATATTTATGTTTGTTTGTGGGTCTGTGAATATATTTTCTCTTTTCTCTTTTGAGGAGATTGAGTGACTAAATAGGAATGATTTTCCTATGCTAATACTCCCTTAAAGTTTTTTTTTTACCTTATCACTAATAGTGATGCTACTTAAAAGGGGCACATTATTGTATTAAACACAGGCTAAATATAATTTAATGAAAAATCTTTCAGAAAAAATATACTTTGATTTAATGATTATGATACTTAAAAATAATTTGTTTTGTTCCATTGAGAGTAAATTAGCACCTATAAACATTGAAGAAATAACAAAAATAACTTTTGAGGTTTTAAGATATGTGTTAAGGGAATAAATGATGATAAGGACAGGAGACAAGAGTCTTCCCTGGTGACTCCAAATCTGCCTGCAATGCCAGAAACCAAGTTTGACCCCTGAGTAGGGAAGATCTACCTGGAGAAGAGAATGGCAGTCCATTCCAGTATTCTTGCCTGGAAAATCCCATGAACGAAAAAAATAGCAAAAAAATAATTTTTGAGGTTTTAAGGTATGTGCTAAAACCATAAGGAATAAATGATGATAAGGATAGCAGATGGGGACTTCCCTGGTGGTTCAGTCAGTAAAGAATCCCTCTGCAATGCAGGAGACTGCCTGCAGCACAGGAGACCTGAGTTTAATCCCTGAACTAGAAGATTCCCTGGAGAAGGACATGGCAACCCACTCCAATATTTTTGCCTGGAAAATCCCACCAACGGAGGATCCTGGTGGGTTATCATGGGGTCACAAGAATCGGACACAACTTAGCACCTAACCACAATCACAAGGACAGGAGACAGAGAACACGTATTCAATGTGCTTACACAAGTAAAGAAATCTTGGAATGAATGAATAATTTTATTATCAATAAGACTGTGGACCAAGTGCGCATTTATATCTGATGTTATTGGTTTACTTTTTCCTTGTAATAAAATTGATGCACAAATTTATAATTACTATAATGACATACATATATATATCAGTGTTGATGCCTTCAGTGTGATACTTATTCAGTTCATTTCAATCTCTTAGTCATGTCTGACTCTTTGAGACCCCTGTAGAGTAAACAAAATTTTAAGAATAAAATCTAATTTAAACTTTATAATTCACAAACAAAATATTTACCTAAGGTGTTTAATACTATATTTTTAAAAATATATTTGAAATACTCACTCTAAAATAACTTTGCTAGATACCTTCACATACAATATGTATACCTAATCAGAATAATTAAGTATAAGTAATCAGAATGATGCACGTTTCTTTGCTTCTTCCTCAAATAAAGAGCTTTCGTTGTACAGTCACTAAGTCATGCCCGACTCTTTGCAACCACATGGAATGCAGCACCCCAGCCTCCCTGTCCTTCACTATCTCCCAGAATTTGCTCAAACTTATGTTTGTTGAGACAGTGATGTTATCCAAACATCTCATCCTCTGTTGCCCCCTTCTCCTCCTGCCTTCACTCTTTCCCAGCAACAGTGTATTTTCCAATGAGTCAGTTGTTTGCATCAGGTGGCCAAAGTATTTATTGGAGTTTCAGCTTCAGCATCAGTCCTTCCAGTGAACATTCAGTGTTGGCTTCCTTTAGGATTGACTGGTTTGATCTCCTTGCGGTTCAAGGGACTCTCAAGAATTTTCTCAAGCACTACAGTTTGAAAACTTCGATTCTTCATTTGTCATCCTTCTTTATGGTCCAGTTGTCACATCTGTACATGACTACTTGAAAGGCTACAACTTTGATTATATAAACCTTTGTCAGCAAAATAATGTCTCTGATTTTGAATATACTCTCTAAGATTGTCAGAG